TGTTAGATTAACAAGTTCTATATTTGTGATCGTGGAGATTTCGCCAAAATGCAACAGTTTTCCGAGGAAATTGGTACCCTTTAGCTGTTGCTAAAACCATAAAATTATCAAAAAAAACCTTCAACTAGCCTTCCTCAAATCTCTCTATTCCAGTATTTGTAGTCTAAATGACTTTTTGCAAAATGCGAAAACCATGTACCTGTGCTGAATCCCAAAGTTGGCAATACTTTTAGGGGACGTTTTAAAATGCCAAAATTTCGGATTAGCGTCCAAGCTACCCAGGCTACTTGTAAGTGAAATTGAAGAAATTCGCGGAGCAGCGGCTCAGAATTATTTATGAGCAATAAAGTTCCACAGCAATGTTCACCCGAAATGCATGCACATTTCCCCCAATAAAATGTCGTTGAGCTCGACGCAAATTACAAAATTGGCATTTATTAACTCACACCGTTTCAAGCCTTTGCTGAAGCAATAGTGAGCCAAAGTAGAATAAAATGGACACAACCCACGGAAGGACTAGGGCTAGGCAGCTAGCTTGACCTGAACCACATGCCGCAGAGCAAAGGCCAAGCCTATGGAGGCTGAAATACCTGCGCAGTTGTAAATAATTAAAAAACCACATCACTGCCAAATCTTTTGGGAAAAAGTACAATCATGTCAAGCAAATCATGACTTGCGCTTACTGTCGGACACTCATAAATTATCCAAACTTTTCAGCCGTAGCAGGACGTCAGCATTCTTGTCGTCCAGATTTTTTGATTGATAATGAGACCGCTTAGGCATTGCTTAAGAAGAATTCCCGGAATTACTTGTTAGAATCATATATACACGCAACTTGAATTAGCTAAAGAAAATTTGCCTAACGTTACTAACCCTAAAGTGCAAAGTGCATTCTACCGCGAATTTTTTTGTGTGAAAATGGTAATTATTTTTGGATTTTGTGTTGTGAGGTCAAAGGTGCTATTCATTTGTATCAGAAGGATTTTGCGTGAGCAGTGCGACTGAAGCGGTTGAAAAAGGTTTCACCACTTCAGGAGTAAACAATATTAGGCATGGTGATCCATTCAAACAATTAAAAGTGAGAGAAAAGGTAACGTTCAATTCTGATACTTAAAAAGTAAAAAAATTACAAAGAAAACAAAATTAACAAAAGTTAAAAAATTATTTTAACAAAAGCCTTTTTTATAATGCATTTAACAAATTTGAAGGCAGGTTTTGGCCTCTCTCCATTTCCTCTTCCATCCTCCAATTCACATTCTACTTATATATTTTGACGAACTCTAAATGTCTCTTTTGTAAGAAAATGTATTCTCTTCTCTTTTTATGGTTAAATGATTAATGGCGACGATTTAATGAAAATGCAAAACTAGCAGATTTAAGGTGTCAAAAGGTACTGAACGTCCATCTTACTTACTTTGAACTGTCATTCTAAATTAGTGATTTTAGTGTCCAACATACAAACTTCTCGATCTCTTTCAACGGCCAAACACAGGGATTACTACCAAACACCTTAAGTGCTTCGAAAGCTAAATGACTCCCTGTCACAAGCCCTTGACTCCAGTAGCAATTGCAATTTCATGGGATCTGACCAATTAATTACATCTGCCAAATGCAGGATTGTAATCAAATAACAGAAAAGGTTTATATCAAGAAAGGAAGGTCTAGTCTCCTGTGAGCAATGATTTGTTTCATATCGCCGGCGAAACAATCCAATTTAAGTGGCCCACCGCACACTGATTCTACAAGAAATCTGAATAAAATACCAGCAAAGCCTGATTACTTATCTCAAAAGTTGATCTAATATCGCGAAAATTAAATCACGGAGGACTGTGACAATACATGTCACGGATCATGTGTGTTAAAAGAAAGCTACCAAGAAGGGGAAAATTTCTCCCCGTCGTCTCACCCGTCGCTCGAGTGCATCCTCGCTTCTTTGCACTTCTTGTTTAGTCTCTTTCCTCGTAAAAAATTCGGTATTCAAGTACGAAAATTACTTCTTGTTGGTGTTTCAAAACAGTCTCGATCTGATTGCCAAAGGTGTTTGAGTTGGGACTGTAAAGTGACAGTGAAATTTGCTATTAAACATTCTCTAGTAAGCCAAAACATCGAGGACTACCGAAAGAACATGCAGCTGACGGATGAGCAGTTCCACAATCTGGAGCGTCTGCTGGACGAGGTGGTAAAGGGTAGGCAAATGGGCCTCCTGATGCTGGGGATGCCTTTGCAGTCCTGGTCCGAGGTCTACATCGTCCTTCGACCCGTCGCAAAGGGCCTTCTAAACGCCTCGCCCCTCCTGCACCCCTGATGGAGCCTCCCACCCCCACCCCCCTCGCTAACATCCACGTACTTCATTTATGTCTCTTTCCCTTCACCTCTACCCAATCACCTATCCACTCAGAGCCGATTCAGTTAACTGACATCGGGGTCATCTCTGAATAAACCCATGGGACATGAGCCTTTGAATTCCACAGACCTTGAATTAAAACACCCCACCTATTTTTCAAGCCAAGGTGCGTAGGAGGTGGGAAGCAACTTTAAAAGTGCGGGAGCTCTGACACTTATGTAAAGGCCCATTTGCGGAACCGGAAAAACAGTCCACGTAATGAGCATCGCCTTAAAAATTGTAACTAATATTTGTGTACATGTTTTGTTTGTCCCTCCAAGTATGCGCTCCATCTTTGCGGAAGTAGCAAACCTTGTGTAAATAGTTACCCAAATGCCACTTATAGAAGGGATCTACTGGCTCGGCATTAAGTCATCATCCAAGTAGGGCAGATAAGGGAAAGTCCTGGCAGTATTGGAGCACCTTTGAAAATCTGTAGTAACGCATATGTGGAGTTTCATTGCCTTCATAACTTCGGAATTTTGGTAATCATCATATAAAATAGAATTTGTGTAGCTTACCGAGACTCTCCTGAAGATGAAGGAAGGCAAAATACTCTGACAGAATATGCCTTCAGCATACAGAGGGGACTGTGGCTACTGACATGACCCAGGGTCCAGTTTCACTGGGCAAGGGTACAATGACGGGGACGCAAAGTGGCCCTGTACCGAATCCAAGAGGTAAACAACAAATGGGTTGCATAGTTCCTCTCCTCTTGAGCGTTGTCTCCAGCGCTACCCTTCCTCAACCTCCCACGTCAGCTACTACAATGTAGTCGGTACTGTAGGGGAAACATCCATGCGTTAACCACACCAGTCATCGAAATTTCATGCAACTGAGGAGATATCTCGCCACAACACCACTGATTCCTCTTGGCAATTCTGCTGGATCTGCAGCTTCGGCTTGTATGGGAACTGGATTTGTGGACGGAGAATTTCGCTGGCCATCATGCGTATCCACAGGCAGGCGTAAGAACGTCAACCCAAGAGCAGATCTATTTAGGGGAGGACGGGATTTGACACAGTTCTGTGGAGACATGGTTTCCTGTCCGTTGCTCCTTTCTACGTTGTTCTAGCTTCAGAGCAGCCCAGCCGCATAGCCATCTAGGTTGTATCCAGCCAGTAGAGAGGCAAAGGAGGCATCGCGAGTTCGCATTGTCGACACCTTTATGCAGGTACGGCAGGCAACTCCGTAAGGAGCCCTTTTCAGATGGTTCACGACTAGTGTCGCTGTCGTTATAACTAGCATACCTGCAGAACACGGGACTGCAGTCGTTGCCGAAGGTAGACGACATTTTCAGCCCTTCTGTATGAGGCCATCACCGATTCTCGCATTCGCACTCCTTCCGCCCCACTGAGGTGTATCATCCAGCAGTAGAAACGAGGGTGGATGCCCCTTAAGGTTGCATTTGCTTTCCCCTGCCACCAATGAGGCGCCCAGGTACTTCCAGTAGTTCTCGAGACTACTGGCATGGCCCGAAGGCCGGCTCTTCCTGCAAAGGTACAAAGGCCATGACACCAAGTGGCCCTCTTCCCGAATCACATTACCACCCTTCAACTCTCAAATAAGCTGGAACCGATTAAGTACCAAATCGGTATCAACGATATCAAATTCAAGAACAAGCCTTCATCATTCAACAACTTATTATTCCCAGAACAAAAGAGAGGCAAAGAATAATTTCGGGGACTCTTGATTTTGCGTTGATCAAAAGCAGTAAGAATGAAAGGAAGGCAGACAAATAAAAATAATGATAATAATAATAAAAGCAGTTAGATTGGAATCTTCACTGGATGATGCAGGATTGTATCATTCCAGCGTCACCGCCTCCGGAGATCGCACGGAAGGTCTGTTGGGTGATTGCGTCAGTCTGCAGGCCTAGTTCCACCTCGTTGACGAGACTGGGCAGGAGAAAAGGGATAAATTTGGACCTTTCGAAGTGGGGTGAGGTAAGGTGAAAAGGAGGGAGGACGTACGCCTGCTCCTGGTAGTCCAACTCCTGGACAATCTCATTGCGCTCGTTCACCACCTCCACGACCTCACGCAACAGAAGCTCCTCACGAGCGCGATCCTCGGCGGTCTTCTGGCTGTCTGGAAGTGTACAACATACGGAAAAAGTTATTTCCCGTTTTAAATAAGAAAAACAAAAAAAGTAAATGATTCAATTACCATCTTTTTCCATCAGCTCGCGTAATTCCGCGTTCAGGAGGACTGTAGTCCGCTCCAGATCAGACTCCTTCTCCCTGAAAAAGCAAAACATGCCATTTATAGCTTAAATTAAACAGATTTCCGCTACTCCAGCGAATCGCTACAGTTCAGTATTTAAAAATATCTAAGTACTTTGTAAAGTGGCACACTCCGATTCATGGAGAAGTCCAAATGGATTTTGAAATGGTCCCTCAAGCTGGAATCGCTTCAACAGTGGATAAGCCGCGCCATTTGAAATATGCAAACGCTGTGTGAAATTTGTACAATAAAGACTCTAAAAGGGGTTTAAAATCCACTTTTTCCCTAATCAAAGATGTTAGACGAGGTGGATAATTGCAATTACTTAAAAGAGTTACAAGAAATTCCAACTGAAGTGGTATTACTGGATCAAAGTGACAGCCTCGTTTCGTTAAGTCAGTCCGTTGAGGTTAAGAATAATTCAAGTCGACAACTCGGGACTGTCGCAACAAGGACGACAAATGGACAGAAGTTTCCCCTTCACAATTGAATTATTTAAGCGGTATGCTTTTAGTTAAAATTTCCAACGAAAATGCGCTACCTGTCAGACTCTCAGGCCCTCTTCTTATCCCATCTATTCTCGGTCTCGGTGCAATTCTCAAGAGAATATGCAACAATCACACAGTTACCAGGCTTTCGTATAGGATGGATTCTTTTCTAAACTAACATGATTCGGTGCGGAAAAGGTCCCTGCAAATTAAAATGAAGATTAAACACTAGTTCCTACTACCACACTATCCCACTACTGAAGACCGTCGATATTATCCCACGAGGAATCCATCCAGGCAGCCACGTTGGGGATGATGGGAAGGTAAAAGCGGGGTCTAGCGGTGGAGTAAATAAAAGGTGCCAACTAATTAAGAAACCTTGATGCAAGCAGAGGGCATAGTGAGCCCACAAACACCTTTTAATCTCCAGCCCTTGTCAGCTCAATAACTTCAGTCAACCACTAAGATGTCAAGACAGCAAGGAAATCTACGGCATCAGACATCACTTGACAGTTCTAAGTGGCTTGAATAAGTGTTGAAGACTTCTCAAAGTAAAGGAAACAATCTTGATGTGAAAGGCTCTATTAAAATTTCAAATCACTGAAGAGTGGAAAAAGGAGACGTACATGATGGAGAGTTGATAGGAGCGATGAACGAGGGCGTTGCGACGGGAGATGAGTTGGAACCAGCGCCGCATGAGTATCTCCTCCTCCGGCGTCCCAGAGCCCATGACCGCACGCAGGCGTCGTTCAAGGTCTGGCGCCTCGCAATCCAACGCCTCCTGTTCCGCCGCCAAGGCCGCTGCCTCGGCACTAACTGCACCGATGCATCACGACACAAGTCGAGGTGAAGTAAAAATAGCGTCAGAAGGAAGCATGCTTTGTTGCCTTACTACGAAATACGTTCAAATCAAACAGGAAATTGTGGATTCTCCGCTCCAAAACAAGATCTACATTCAGCAGCAATTACTATTCAAACTTAAATTCCTTAAAGTTCCCCTTTTTCTCCTTCTTTCTATGCAATGAAAAGCTCCTGTTCGACCTAAATACCCTCTTAGTTGTACTGCCAAACGGTCAACAAAATTAAAACTGGTCTCTTCAAATGAATTCTTTCCAAAGCAATTGAGCGATGGTTTGTGAATCAACTCCACACTGATAGGACATCTATGCAACAAGCAATAATATGAACACGAAGACTTTCGTAAAAAGTTATAGCTACAAAATGAGAAGAACAGAACAGGCATAGGGGGCCGCTTAGATAAGAAGGCCAAACAATAAGGCTCATCAATCAGGCAACGCTATTTCTAATGATAGCAAAGCGCTACAAATCACTCGTTTGATAGCACATGTACTCATCACCACAATTGGAGGTAGAGCTAAAACAAATGAAATATGAAGACAGAGTTAAGCTAGCAAGTGATCGGCAATGATTACTATCCAGATTATAACAAACCGGAAGAGGAGGATTCGTTTGACAACACCACATTCGAGACTTACGATTGGAGGGCTGCAACACAACAAAAAAAGCAAACGGTGAGAGTTAACAACTGCGCAGCGATCTGTGAGACAGAATAAAGGCGAATTTTCTCACAGTTGAGGGCTTGGGGGATTTACTAGGGGAGGCGTTGAGGCTCAAGTGCGTCTCCAGACCGTCTGAGAAGAGCTTGAGGTTGGAGAGCTTTAATTTGCGTGCCTTTACATTTCCCGTCGTTGGCGATGCACCGTCGAGCTCTGTTTAAACAAAATTTGCGATTTGGTTATTAAACAGATGTCTTCAGCACCGCTATGTAACTTATTAAATTCCGTGATTAATGATACTGAAGTGGACACAGTGCCGGTGGAATGTTCGCGGACAAAATTACCGGAGGGGCGAATGATAGGATAAAATGCGTCGGGATGTAGAAAGAGTAGGCCTGTCAAAAAGCGCAGACATGATTATTCTCAACTATTACAAGCTGACAGGCAAATGGAGAAGGTAACGAATATAGTGAGAACGAAAATGAACTAAAATATGTCAGGATTAGAGAAATCCTTCAAATGGATTTGGATTTGTGGAAATGGAAGCATTTTAAATAAACTCTTTCAATAAAAAAAGTGTCTAAGAGCTGCGAAATTCATGGGGCGTAGGAGAACAGTCAACAACCATTTAAAGCAGGCAGTTTAGGCAAAAATTGAATCTTCGAAAGCTACTTATTTTAGCATTGATGAGTATACTACTTATGAATTGTAAGTAGTGCACATAATCAAGTCAAAAATTACCGTGTTTTGAGGTGGCAAGACTGGGGGATTCGACGGCGTGATCATCAGTGGTGGTTATGGTAGTCGTAGCACCCAAGGAATCGTTTTTATCTGACGATTTCGACTCCGTCAGAAGGGTTCGCGCTTTCGTCAACAGCTGCTCATAGCGCTCGGAGGCACTGCTGCCGCCTGAATTCACCTGGAGAAGGAGCAAACAGAAGATAAAGTGGAAAGACTCGACAAAAAGCAACAAACATTTACACACAAAGAAAATACTCACTTGCTTTTTCTTTTTTGCTTTTGTTGTGGATTTATTCACGGAGTCCTTATCTACCTCCGATTCGTTCTGCTGGTGACTGCAAGAAGGGAGGAAGCAGTTCCAATGACCTCCAATGCAAAACATGAAAATTTCAGAGCTAAACACGAGCAAACCAACTTACAACGTGGGAGGAGTTGAGATGTTTCACTAACTTATTCCCAACACATCTTTTATTAGAACAGAGGCAGCAATTCTAGGGGCTCCATGAGCAATGGTCAAGAACGACAACAACAATATGAACGGATAGTAAAGTGTAATGTCAATTCCTTACCGCTGAGGCGGTAGAAAGAATGGTAGCAAAACTAAAAGCAGCATCGAAGTAAGCAACAATATCACCAAGAAAGCATAGGCTAATCAAAAAAGGACCCAAGAGTGGTTTAATTACAGTGATTGCATCACCGTCAAGAGCAGAGGTAAAACTCACTCAGCGGCACCATCGAGAGGTGCAGCAGCGGCCACTTTTTTCTTCTTCTCCTCCTCCTCCTCCTCCTCTTTCGGTGCAGTAGCTGCCGTTGCGATAAGGCAGGTGCGTAGCTGATGGAGGTAGGTCATCATGGAGAGGCGATCGGGAGCCCCGCCCCGCCCCCGCACCACCTCACAAGGGTCCACAAACACCCGCGCAACGCCAAATCGGCTGGCCGCGTCGAAGGCCAATCGGACACGCTCCGTCGGGGTCATTGCTAGGACTAACTCGAAATCGCCTCTGCAAATTGACAAGGTATGATAAGGATGACGCTTAATCACAACTTCAGGTATTGGGCTAATAAGTATAAGAAATTCTTATTCAAAATCTCGAGAATCGAAAGTGGGAGAAGCTTCTGTTGTCCAGACAGAATCGATACGAACTAATGCAAGGACATCCGAGAAAATAGCAGGAGTGTTGAAATAAGGTAGAAACTCACATGGCCTGCGGCTGGAAGTGGTGGATTATTGCGCAGAGAGCAAGACCCGATCGGAAGCAGATGGTGAGATCTTTGATCTTGACGCCGGGGTAGGTGGCAGTGACCTCCTGACACCAGGCCAATAGGTCTTGTCCCGTCTGAGAGGTGACCTTGGCCTGATTTTCTAGTTGGCTGGGGGGAAAGACCGATTACTAGGCTCTAAAGGCGAGATCCAAGGAAAGTACTAGTGTAGCCAAGGGAAAAAAAGCTCAAAAGGCACACGAAAATACACTTTTAAAGCCATGTAAATGCCTCTGCCCCATCGTCGTATGTTTATTTTACGCTCAAGTGATTAGGCGAGTAATGCGGATGGTAAAAACGAAACAGATCGAGGAGGAGGCGGGAGGAGGAATGTTGATGCGTGACAAACTTTTTGCCAATGAGTGAATGAAATTTTAAAGGTCTTCGCACTAGCGTGTGCACACTCAACAATAGCCACGATCAGAGGTGAATGAAGAAAGTCTCCTGGAAATAAATATTAATAGAAGAGGACGCGGTAAAGAAAAAAACATGGGATTGTTGGATCTGCTTATGCTCTGGCCAGAGAGAAATCCACTTCTGAGTGGGTGCTTAAGAGAGTGGCAGAAGGTAACTTTTAGCTTTGTTGGTTAACTTGGACTCTTCTAGTACTTAATCTGGGAGAAGCGTAGCTTTCACAATCAAGTTGGCAAAAAAAGAGCTAACGGCTTCGATTCAAGGGAACTAGATATGCAATCAGTGTGGAAAAAAGGTCCATTCATTCAGGCGTTGCAAGGTAAGAACAAACAATGAAGGAGAGGGTGAAAAAAAAATTTCGGATAAGTAAGCCATTTAATGGGAAGTGCATTCCAGCTCCCAGCACAGCAAACCTTGTTGGCAGCGTGGAGGAGTAGCCCAGGCCATCGATGTCCGCTTGTGAATTGCGAGTGCCTGAAGGAGAGAAAAAGGGGCTACTAACTTGCTTATCTTTTCCGTATGCATTTGAGTAAGTGAAATATGGCACAAACCTGTGATTGACCTCAGGACAAAGCTCACACACAGGTGTGCTTCAATAGCCATCCAAAAAAGGCGTTAATAAGGCCATTGACAGTGAGGGTGGTAAATGTAGGGCGCTGTGATTTTATTTGTGCATAATATTATGCGGGGAAGATGTTCAAAATGAGGCAGGAAAAAGAGGAACAACTTCGACCATTAATTCATGAATGCCTTTAGGGGTGAATCGGAATGTGTGGAACTAGAACAGCTGGAAGCGTTGAGGAGATCAAAGCTACGAAATTCCTCTAGCCAACTTTCTAGCTTTCACAAGCAACTGCCTACCTTCGGTCTGCCCCACGTCCATGCTTTTCGCCGCCTCCTTCTTCGCCTCAGCCTCAGCCGCCTCTTCGTCGACTTCATGGAGGTCGGGACAGTGCTCAAGAGCTTTCAATCGGTTGGAGATGCTGGCTACATCGTTATAGAAGGTTTCTGACTCAGGAATGGGCGACTCATTGCTCCACCTGCTTCCGTAGGCTGAGGGTGGTGCGTAGGTGAGTGACATGGAGGAGGCAACTGAAATCATATCCTCATCCCTGGTGGCAATAACAAAAACAGGCTGAAAAATTTTCTCACTGGGCTTGTAGTTTTCTAAATGGTAACAGTATTTTGCTGAATTAGAATCAGGAAGCATGCGAGTTGAATATAAATTCTACGGCGTTAGAATAACTTAAAACATACTCCCACTGCCGCGATTGAGCGCTCCCTCGGAAAGGCTCATTCATCAACAAATTGGTGGTAGTAACTTGGCCGAAAACTGGCCAAATTTTTTGGAGAATTCTAAGAATCCAACTATCAATCTACGAAATTACACATTAAAACTGAAAAATGTCCTCTTTATAAGTGAAGCAGTAGCTCCGGTTGGACAAAGACTGTTGACAGTAACAGCTGGGTCAAGAAACAGCCTTTTGGAATCTTTCTTTGTATTCAACTGGTTTTGAAGTTCTGTAAAAGTAACTTGGATCATTTTTGAGTGAGTTGCCCAGGACTGGAACTAGGTGATGACCCAGAGGTAAGAATGGCCTACTACAACGCACGTCTTAGAAATCGCATTGCGTGCAAACCAAGTGTCTGTTCACTAGAGAGTGACTAATAGCGACTAGGTTTGTGATGCTGGTGAAGAAACAAAAGAACTGAGAAACAACACGCAAGCACCATGGCAGGATCATTTTATTCTCTGAAGCCATTGAGCACATGCCTACCTTGTGTGCGAGTAAACTTTCGGTCCACAGAAAACACCGCAAAAATAATTGATGCAATGGGGCAATTTCGTATCACGTTGCTACCTCCCCCACAGAGACCTGCACTAACCCTCGCCTTTGCGCAAATGCTGTCAGTCTAATAGGAGTTATCCGGATCCGATCTAGGTCAAATCACCATGCAGGAGTGGAAGCAGCAGTCTGATGAAGGTAGTCCAGGCCTCCGACTACCCACTGGATTTTTAAATATGCACCAAGGAAGCATAAGGAGCGTAGTCGTGTCGCTGCAGCATTAACTACAATCTATTTAAGTCATCTACGAGTGATGAAGTGGTGTAAAAAGTACCTACAGGATATGCTGCTCAATGACAGCGCATTTCAAAATGCATGAACTTCAAGGTGTCGCGAGCCGGTTAAAATACTATCCTTCAAAGTGGCTAAAACGACGACATTATTGAAGACCTCGCTATCATTCACTACTGCCGGTGCATGAATTCGAATAAACAGCCGCAGGAATATGCAAACCGACTGAGCTATTAACTGACTGCATAATTAGCCTCTTGAGAGGCATTTATGATACTGTCACCGGTCAGCCAGTAACCCGAATGGAAGCACAGCCTAGCGTCTTAGAAGCCATGCCCCTATCATGATGACTTCCGATTCTAATGCAAAAAAAAACAAACACCGAGACCTGAGTGCTTAGCCTTCGAAACTAAAATTTGCCTCAAGACTATAAGGACTCATGATCCAAACACTGGCATGCATCATAACTGCAGAATTCCCAATTCAACACCAGAATGAGGACTCACGTCGCCTCGCCTGATCGGAGCATGAGGCCGTGAAGAGTGAACAATAGGGTGGCGGAGGAAACCTTCTTGGAGGCCGCTCGAAGTTTCACCTTGAGGTTATTCTGTGTGGGTAATGCTGATGCAAATTCGGCCAAGTTGAGGCTGCGGGTGGCCAAAACACGCCGTCTAGTGGTTGCCGATGGCGCAGCTTCTTTAAACTCGGCTACTGACATACACACCTGCAGGGGAAAAGCGTTCAGTTCTGAGGAACCAGACGATACCACACTGGGGGCACAAAGAAACCACTCAAACGGTGGCTTTGAGCCGAATGAATTATACCACTTAGATCAGGATTTTATGTCTGGATTACTCCACCAGGAGATGATACATTCTGAGATAGATCGAGAGGAAACGTGACAGCCTAAGGAGACGCATGATCAAAGGAAGCCACAATAGAAAGCCAAAAATAAAACCATTACTCGAGATCTGAGTAGTCACTCTAGGATTGTTTTCGATTGGTTGAATAATACCACCAAGGCCAAAATTTGTATCAGGACCGCTCCGTTAAGGGATGAAACAAAAACTGTTACATAAATCAACAGTTTATGTCAACTAATCAGGCACCAGTTTGGCTTAAAATTTGGGTGTAAAAAGTAGGATCGAAACAGTGCGATGACAGGAGCTGCCATTTTGAACACAATCCAACTTATGTAGTGTTTTCTATTTCGGAAAAGCATACAATTACAAAACCATATTTGCATTACATCGGAAACATTATTTTCAAAGACACAACCGTTTAAATGGACATGCTAGACCACAACAGGATACCGCCTGCAGCATGACCTTTTAGCCTAAAGAAGGATCCCGGAACAAAAAATGTTTGCCTATGGCCTGTAATTTTAGTCGGAAACACACCTGAATTCGCCTAGAACTCGCCTCCAACATTCACACCAACTGCTAAATGGGAACTTTGATTTTTAAAAAACCATGGTTCTATTTCAAGCTCAGACGTTAAGCACTAAGGTCCAACAAAAATGTTTAATTAACAACTGCTAAATAGGAGCTGAGATGAACTTAACACGCGCATATCCTATTTAAGGACAATCAATTTGAAAAATAAATAAAGAGCAGTGACAGATTTCAACTGCTATACTGCTAAACGCAAACCGAATGTCAAAACGAGTTCTAGAAGCATTCATGACTCCCACTACCAATACTTTTAATTAAAATCGAAATTACAGTAAGAGAAAGCCGGAATCTCAAGGCAAAACATAAACAACAACAACAACAACAAATATACTGTTCGCACTTCGTATATACTGGAATTAGTTTTGATCAATTTTAAGTCGTGTACACGTGAAGTTGTCAAGTCAAGAAGCAGTAACACTGAATATTCACATTCAATAAAAAAGACAACCGAGTCCAAGTAAGGCAGGAATCGTATGACAACGCAAAGAAGAGAAAGGCAACTAAGTTTTAATTTTGCATAACCGGAGAGAAAAACAGCAAACTAAGAGCGCATATACAAATTAACAAAGAAGCTAATGCTTCCAGAGTCGTGGCAGACTAAAACCTTAAATGGCGAGTAAAAGAAAATCCCCGGTGTTAAATCAAGAGAAAATTGTTAATACCCTTAAAATGAAAAACAAGCTAACTGGGCATGAAAGAAAACCTACATCTTCGATTTGAAAAGTCCATTCCTTATCTTCAAAGGAGATATCCTTTTCATTTCGGTAGAGGGTTGTTACAACTTCCAAATTATCCGGCACAGCCCACATGTATGAAAGCGAGGAATCCTCGGGTGAGGAATTTTGCAGCATTATGGGCTGGAAAAAAGAGAAAAAATCAGCATATCGCAAAACGGTGCTGTATGCACCAAAAAATTCAAAACCCCCGCATCAAAAGTGCAAAAAGTGAGTCTAAAAAACACTCACAGAGAGCTTAACGCATTTTACAAATGCACACGAACAGAACGTGGCGAAATGCCTACAAACCTGAGATGTACAGCGCCTGCCCCGGCGAGTAAACACAATTGTAACACCCTTTGGCCGATATCCCTTCTCAAATCTTATTGACAGCTCTTCCAATGATACAGTAAATTGAAATTTGGCAGCTTTCATGCCAATTCGCTGAATACGCTTCCAGAGACTCATCTTTGAGGCAGACGCCAAAACAAACTGTAATAGCGGGCATATATGAGCCGATTTAAAGTAAGAAAGGGTTTCAGAGACATCATAAAAACTGGTGGTACACAGTCCTATCTAATGCATTTAAAAAAGGCTACTACCAGTTAATTAACTTAAGACTATTACAAAATTACCACTCATGTAAATTTTAAAATGTGGGCTAGTTAAATAATAAAATTTTGCGATAGCTTGCACGACAAAGACTGACTTGTAGCCTTCCTAACTGTCACGGCTTGCGAATAAATATTTTAGTCTAAACATAAAAAATAAACTTCAAAATGAAGTTAAATTATCCTAAAAACTAAAAAACGTGCTTTGATTAGCACATCATCCAGATGTTTAAAGATGTGTAGCTATAAAGGTTTGAAAAAATCTAAACTTTAAGTTTTTTTAATGGAACATGTCGCCGGTCCTTGAATTTAAGAGCTGGGTGATTGAACTACCAAATCACTTTATCTCATACTTAGCATCTAAGGGTTGGGTGTAAAACAAATGATTGACTATATTGCATTTTGGTAATATAAAAAAAGTAATTTATTGCTGATAACTGATTACATTAAAGTATTTATTTAGGTAATACTACCTTTCCACTATCATCAATAACACCGAGCGTAGGTCGTTATCTGGTGTGAGAGGACTTTCTCTAACTCCCCTCATGGTAGCTCGCACTCCCTTAATGTGTTTTCTAGACCACTCCAGTACTAGTTGGTCTTGGACTAATTGCAGTCGGTTTAGTGGGTCGTCAATTGACTAGACAAGTGAAAGGAAAGCAAGTGCAAGACTTAATACGCCTAGCTGGCTTTGTAGGTTGCATTTTGTTCGCCTCTTTGTTCATGTGCATTTTGATATTTAACTTATCTGTTTTATCTTTATGCCAGACAACTTCAAAATACTATAAAGGTGGATTTGAACGTAAGATGTCCCGTCGCGAAGCCGCCTTGATCCTAGGTGTTCCGTAAGTTACCTTTTATCCTACTTGTTTTGTTCCGTATATTTTTACTTCTGGATTTTCTTTCTGATATTTTGTGTGGTTTTAATCTTAATGATATTTATTTTTATTTTAGGCAGTCAGCAAGCAAGTCCAAAATCCGAGAGTCTTATAAGAGGATAATGCTTCTGAATCATCCGGATCGAGGTAAGCGTACAAGTCGTAGCTCCAAATGGTTTTCTATGTTTAAATTGATTCAAGTTATATTTTTGATGTATTAGGAGTTCACTTTAAGTTTTGAAGCTGAGTTTTCATTTTTGACTAAGATTAATTTATTGCACTTTTCTCAGTTAAGGAAATGCGGTCGTTTCCAGTGTTCCCTGAGCCGCCATTATAGTTATTTTTCTACGATGCCTTTTCAGCTATTATTTGCACCTTTGTTTTCTAAATATCCCATTCTCTCATGAACGTTGTTTTTTTGTACGTGTACCTTTTGGTCAAGCTGGCTTAACTATGCTGCCCCAAAAGTGTATAGTGTTGGTCTGAAATCGTTCCCGAGAGACTCAGCAGACTTAAAAAGTGAACTCTTTTTTTTATTCCAGGAGGGTCACCCTATCTAGCAGCGAAAATCAATGAAGCAAAGGACTATCTCGAAAATGAAAAGTGAATAACAACTACCTCTTAACAACAATTATCTTCTGTATAGCTTAACTTTGTACTATGAAGATTAGATCCCAAAAAAGACCTTCGATTACTTCTTGCATAGAGGTGCAATCTTTTCAAATTTGCAAATAGGATTTCACAAAAATATGCGTGTGTATAGGGTGGTTGTATATATGGAAGTGTCAGCTAATTTCCTACAAACTGTCCATCCTCTTGTCGATATTGGGATTCCATGTAGGGTGGAAGAACCGTTGGATGCGGTCTTCGGGCATGGGTTATTGCATAGGTGGGTACGTTGGGCAGGTACCTCTCCCCTGCTATTGATGACGGTGTTGTTGTTGCCATTCCCGTAGCATTCGTTTCACCCCTCCGGATTCGAGCTTGCACTTCCAACTGTAGCTGGAAGCGTCCGGACACAACAACATCCTCCGTTCGCATATTGCAGCCCTCTGAATCCCACTGGCTACTGCCACTGCCCACTCCTATTTGCTGAACGTAGACACTAGGATCGGGATAAAATTCGGGCTGGTAGGGAGTGGGATTGTACTGATACGTCTCCTCATAACTCCATGCCGAGGAACTTTGTGGCGCTGCCGGCGGTTGAGACGGTGGCGGTGGAAGCAGGGTTTGTTGTTGCAATTGCTGCTGGTGGTGACTCGGTCGAAGTGTTGGACGGAATAACATGTCCACAACCGGTGGAGGTGGGGCGGGAGGCCAGTAGTTGGCTCCTAGGATTTTGGAGTGTTGCCACGGTGATGTAGGTTGGTTGCTGGGTTGCTGGAGAGGTGATGTGGTGTGGTAGTAGTTCTGGGCGGTACCTTCATCTGGCGGCTCTTTCAGGCACTCACTGCAGTCCTCGACGCTTTCCCGTTCCTCGCCTGTTTGAATCGCTGCAGGGCTGGGTAAAAGGGGGGCATTCAATGGGTAATCTTTATGTACCTCTTTGACACCGCAGTGATTTCTTCATGCTGATCATTTGGGAACTGGAAGGCAGCCACAACAGGTAGTTTCGAGTCCTACTGAATGCTCTGGTATTTGGGTCAAATATCCCTTAAAAAACACCCACTTTAATAGAGTTAAAGCCTCCCACTCATTGGCTCTGGGTGGAAGAAAGAAATTTGTTAAGAGGAAATAAATTCCACCTCTGAATAGGATTTGGTTTGAGTGGCACACACTTGAGCATTGTTGTGGAAAGGCCAGTGGTGTTTGACCTCTCGCAGTTTTTAGCATTAAGTATCACCTATGTGATTGGTAGTGTCATCCACCTACTGTAGTTGACGCCTCGGAAAGCGAATGCACAAAACCTGAATAGTCGTAAAGGAGCAAATTAATTATTACAAGTGACAATACGATGAATAACAGCGTAGTTCGTCTTTATGCGGTCTTCAAAGTATCGGCTACTCTTCGAAACACCTTAGTGAAGTTTACTCTGTCGCTCCACATTGTAGAGGCATTCCAATTGATTCAGCACCGCTTGAATTTTTAGTTAAGCTAACTCCCAGCGCCAAATCACATATAATTCTTGGGATATTCACCACGGCGTCCAGCCCCTCTTATCCAGAATGGAGCTGTTCACTTGCTTTTTTTCCCCACGTACTCATTGGTCGGATGTTTGGGAATAACACGGGCTTTCTCTAATTGTCTAAGATCCTTCTGAAACAATATCTCGGTAAGGTCGTCGGTTGAAAAATGACGACTGGTTAAATATTTCCTTGAATCTTTGAAACATTTCCTTATACAAAAATATTACATATGCAAGGTTAGTGCTAAATGGATTGTCCTGAAGACTCAAGCATGCATGGGTTGGTGATCGGTTGTACTTAGGCCCGACATCTTTCTACCAAGTATGCCATGATCACGCTTATTCTGAAGTGAAGTTGGCTGCGAAACTCAGGCTGCAGTCACGATCGCAAAGACTGCGGAAGGCGTATCTTGACTGCTTCAAAAGAGCGCAGAATTTGGCGGGGTGAACCTGTCTCCTGTCAACGCCTGGAAGCTTTAGGTGGAAACCATTATTGGCTGTGAGGTGGTGTTCCGAATGCACCACTGCGGTGAACACTCAAACCAACACGCAACGCATCCTAGCATATGTGTCTGGAGACAGTAAAGTACTGGGATAGCTACATGGAAAGAGGTGATGCCATCTGTTCGGAATCAAATAAAACATTGGTGAACTTAAACATAAATTTAACGGTCAGTGACGTGGCAGTTCATGCTACAGTAAGCGCTTATAAGTCTAGCAATTCCCTCAAAAGGCTATGAAATGCACCATGATTCAATAAACTAATAGAAATAGGAGAAAATAGTAAAGAAATGAGGAGTAAGCAGTGCGTCCTACCTGAATCCATTCCCGTTGGTTCGTGTCTCAGCAGCTCTGTCACGCTGCCGCCGATTCTTGAACCAATTGGAAACCTGAGTGGTGGTTAGTCCAGTGAGCTCGGAGAGCTCCCTTTTCTCCTTAGGTGAGGGATAAGCATTGCGATGGGTGTACCAGTCACGTAGAATAGCTCTTGACTTCTCCTTAAAGCAGTAACTTGTCTCCTCGCCGTCCCATATTGTTCGGGGAAGTGGGAACTTGCGTCTAACTCGATACTTTGCTACTGCTCCTAACGGTCTGCCCTTAATTCGCTCCTCCTCCATATAATGCGCCTGCATCCATAGGTTCTGCAGACGCTGATGCCAAGTCGGGGAGAATGCATGGCTTTCCAAGATGCCGTACAAATCCGCAAATCGTCCCTCGTTAAAGGCTAGCGTAGCTTTTGCGCACAGTAAACTTTCGTTATTTCCGGCTGAGTCGCCAATACTTTCCACGAAGTGTTTCATGCGTACATAATCACCAGATTGCTGGAGGATATCGCAGATGCAGGAGATCTGTTCATCGGTGTAGGAAAGTACCGCGTTTGATGGCGGCTGCTCGTAGGCGCTTGAAGGCGCATCACACCAAAAGTTTGGGACAGACGAAGAGGTAGCGGAGTAGGCGTAGTGAGAGGAGTAGGAATTTGACACTCCGGGTGTTGGAGAGTATAAGTTTCTAGTGCCAATGCTAGTAGTGGTGGTGGCGGTAGCTGTTCTGCATTTGGAATCTGATCGCTCTACTGTTGCTGTTGCCGCCGCTGATGCTGATAATGATGGTGGCGATGCAGTAAACATGACTCGCTTACCCACTCTCTCTATTCTGCTCAGATTACTTCGAATGATCTCTTGTTTCATCCAACCTGGGTAGGCAAATAAAATGTGACACCCTGCACGGATGCGTGCGTGCGTATGTGTGCGTGTACGCTGCCGCGTCGAGGCGCCATTGGTTGCACCTCTACGCTCTCGTCTTTAGCTCCACCAATCCCACTTCGCCTTCTCCCCAAGCTTCTGTAGCCACTGGTCTTTGTTGGGAATGATCATTAAAGTGGAAGAGCGTCGAGAAGTCTACCCGAAGGCGGTTCGCCTCCTTGACAGCTTGTTGTTAGACGCTTAAACAGGGAGAGGATTAACAGCCAATTTCATAGAAGTGGAACTCAAAATTTTGAGAAAATGTGTGCATTTGATCCACGTGGTCAGTAGCTGTGGCAACGGACGCAGTTGAATTCTAAAGGCATCGATAGCAACCGAGGAATGACGCACGTGATAATTGTTGCAGTATGTCATACTGTGAGGCAAAACACACTCAATGCGGTGAAGTGGGACACTGTGCGTGTGTGTGTGTGTGAAATATGACACCTGTTGCAGGAGTTTACGATTTCGCTCATTCACTCTCACCAGCTCCCTTCAATGGCCCACACTGCTGGCCCCGATTGGAGACGATTGAGAGAGTCAGGAGAGACACTGGGTGGACGCTAATCGTTGTCGGAATAATCGTGCTATGAGTAGGGATGCATGCGAGATAAAGCATTCCCTAGACTGTGCACACCTTTTCCCTCTGCAAAGCCTTTTCACATCCTTACTCACACAGTAGTATGAACAGTCAGGCAGAAAGGATTATAGTTACAATTTCTAGAATTAAACAGCTACCCTAAAGATTGAGGGTGAGAGCTAAACTAGGATGGCCTGCATGAAAACCGAACCTCACTCCTCTCTTTGTTATGGCTTACTTGATCACAGCACACCCTTTTACATGAAGTCTATCAGCACCTTTTTGCCATTTTACACTTAGGCATGAAATACTCTACTGCTTCAAATGACGATTGTCTGCATCGCTCAACTCTCCGAAGTAGAATGAAGGCTTGGATTGAATTCAAACTCTTCTAGTCAGCTAATTGATCTGTCTGTTGGTGCGCCTTGCACCGACGTGTTAGATGGATAGAGAACCGACTCACCACCAGCATACCCCTCTCCTCCCCACAGAGCACGTGGTCTAGTCAGCAAGCTAGGTTGATATTGAAAATGCGAATACTAGGCTTATTCTGCTCATACAGTGTTAGACGGGGCCTTATAAGCCCTCTGTGTTATCTTAGACGAGCAGACATTGGGTGGGTGCGGGTGTTGTCGTGGTTGTAGCGGTGATGGTGAAAGTGTAATCTGAGAGCGCCATTCACTAGATATCCGACGCCGGCCAATTCACGCCTCGTTTGAGGGACATTTGCGCATTCCGCCTACCCTTCCGCCTTCTTGTTAGCCTCTACGAAGCCTGCTAGGGACAACTGTGTCTGCTTTCCTCTAAGGAAATGCAACTTCACTTAACAGCTATCCCCCCATTTTCATCACCTAAGCCTCCAGTAAAGTGATCATTTGTCACCTTAGTTTTCTTACAAACTTTACAGTTTGGCTAAATTTAGCAAAGGTTGATCAAAAAATAAATGAAGAATGAAAAGGATCAATTAATTTTATGATTTGTTTTGCATTACGGTTTTGGCACTGACTTTTGCACCTAATGAAGGAGCGTTTGTTACTTGAGGAGTATTATCAAAGCCCTTAATTCTGCATCTCTTTAAATAAAGATTCTTTACTACTTTGATGATCTGAGATTTTTTGTAATCCCCTAAAATATAAATCAGATGGATAAACTCCATAAAAGTGCTTTAATTTAGCTACTGTCAAATTCGCATACCAAATTGTATAATTTTAAATAATAATAAACTTATTTGCAATTTGGCAATTTTTAAAACCTTAGTCTTTGCAAAAGACTACATTGTAGACCTCCATGCTATGTTGAAAAATAAAACCAGTTTATCTCTTGAGTAGCGAATATTTACGGGGAAGTGGTACGTTAACTTTGGCTCTCTTCTTTTTAAAAATCGAAGAATTTCGCTATCCACAAGATGATTATTTATTGCCCGAGGATTTGAAGTGCCAAGGGCGAATAGTAACCATCATCGTCCTGTCAACTGATTTTTGAAAGAGTATCAATTATGTTCACTTATAGAATGAAAAGGGGAAGAGAATTCACTGGACCATTTTAATGCAAATTGACTATATAACACCAAATTTCACTTGTGAATATCCCTAGAAGCTGGATTACTTGGTCACTCCGCACCCGAAAAACTAATGAGTTTATCTAATTCAGCACTCATTTGCATAGTGCGACGAACTGCACACGCACAAGTCGCTGATTGGTCTGCTAAGGTGGATTTGTGCAGTTCTGATTGGTTAATGGAGCGAAGAATGTGAAACTTGATTCTATGCAGAGAATAATAACTTCCCAAGGGATATCGCCCTTATAGACGAGACCACGGCAACAAACAGACAAGTAATAATTATCGGTTTAAAATAATAGAATTATTACTAAAGGTTCAAAACTTCTGTTCATCATTTTCACCGGCATCAAATGTGGAAGATGTTATTTCTGCGTCTACAACCGTTGATACTGCATCTAGTTGTGCAATCTGTTACTTTTGAAAAGCTAAAGATGATACGACTTGTTTTTTTTTCTACTAAAGTTAAGCAGGTACAAAATGTAAAGCGCATCCTCATCCACGTTAAATAAATTGTAATCCTTAGACTTATATATCTACTCGTTTTTACCAAAAAAGCTGAACCGGTATCTGAAAGCATGTTATTTTAAAAATGGTCAACACTAAGTTCAGTAACAAGGCAAGGCTGATGCTATTTTGCAATACACAAATCTAAAAAGAATAGGAAACTTTGAAAAAAGAAGTTGGTATAACCGATACAGACAGTTGGACGGCACAGAAAAGCCAACTTTAAAAAAGGACCGCATAATCGTGTTTTAACTAGCTTGTCAGAGAGATATTACCTGCCAAACTATGCGTATACTAAGGGCATTCGTCGTAGAACGTTACCCAATCCTCAGGGGACGTTAAGAATAATTCCAGTCAAAAATCAGGCTTACTTTTAATTTTGTCCTTTTAGTATTGTGATGATCCAAGAGTCTGACTGAAAACAACAAGTCTGACACTAACAGATAAGATTTCGATTGTTTAAACCCTTTGAATCCATGATTTCAAGCCACATCCATTGGTACCTTCTCGGTTATTAACTAATCGCAGTTCCTGATTACAAACACCGTCCGCCACCATCCTTCTATAACTGCAAGGTTTGGGTGGTGTTAAACGAAGGGTTTACTTGTTAGCATCAACTTTCACTTTTCATCCGGGGCTTTACTTGTGGAAAAAAACATTAACCGCTAATTGTGTAGTAACCTCTCTCCTCGTTCCCATCTGGATTACGGTCGACTCAATAATTCTTGTTTTGCAAACTCTCAGAGTGCTTCACCACGATTTGCTTTCGCCCCACCGAAAGGGCGACGACATCAGTCCCTAAAAGCGGAAAATCAACGACTGGTCTTCAGCAAAATATCTTATTTAAAAAGAAAAGGATTTTCTTCCAGTCCATGGTAGATCAAATTTCGTGGAAAAGAATGTGACCAGGTACACTCATATCCATCCCAACTACCTCTAGATTCAAGGAAAATGCGGATAAAGTTAGCATGGAAAGCTCACTTGAGCGGCTAGGTTAAACCCTGGGCCGTGAGCAAGGCATTGGTTAATTCCCACCAGCAAAATTGACTAGTAGCCACTTGGATCACTAGCTGAAGCACAAAAATGTGATCCCGTGTGAACGGTTTAAGTGGTGAAATTCGATCTTTGCACTAATTTCAAATGCCCCCTTGCAAAATCCCCCACATTCTGCGTGTACGTGTGATTTTTCACACTGTTGACAAGAAGCCCTTTTTCCTCTTTTTAAATGAGAAAAAACGAAGACAGGAATTAACAGTAGGTCATGCATTTGTTCTTCTTGTTTAGACAATGTTGGATAAATAATGTAAATAGATGCGTAGATAAAAGTGATCTATGTACATAGGCAGTCTATGTGAGTATCATAATGCTACTACTATCAAACATTTAAGTAGAAAAAAAAAATTTAAAGCTCGGCGTATGAGATAAAGTGATGGAGGAGAGGGGCCTCCATAAAAAAAGGAGGGTAGACATGATGGTATTCACCAGGAGGAAAGATTAAATGCAAACGCTAAGTAAAGTTGCATGCGATCATTTGCCCTTTTATTTGCGGAGAGTCATTGCCACTGTTTGGAGGTGGTGGAGTCGTTCCAATGAAAAAGTTGCGCCTTCTTAATTCCCGGCCGATATTGTGACGGTTTGGCTGCTGCAAAGCAACAAAAAAGCCCCAGTGAGTGTTACATACCAACTAAAGTAGTTTAAATTGCCGTAAAGGTTGGAATAAAAGTGGACCGTTTTTTGATCACAACACGGGAGGTCGTTTTCATGGTGTTGACAACGTCAAGAATGCGATTTAAGCAATTGGACAATGCAGCGCTTTAGCGACTCTTCTCAACTAGTGTTTGATCAGATCAACGGTGAAAGGACTGATGATGAAACGGTTGCGCTATTCACAACAGAAATTTAGGTTAACACCAGTGCTAATCACGGAGGCGGGATGCCCTGTCACCTTCATTATGAAATCAAATCGCAACAGACATGGTAAACGTGGCAAAAAGACTTTGTCAAGTCACAAATCACTTTTCCAAGTGCAGCAAAAGCAGAAATATTGGCGAATTAGTAAATAATTCTTTTGATAATATCACCGAAAGTAAAGACACCGCAGATGCAAACAATGAAAGGACGACTTTGGGCCAGCGGGTTGCATAACATTTTGAGCAAATAGGCGTAGAGGTGGCAAAGACGTCTAAATTAGTAACAAATCTTTCACTTTACCAACCCATTCCTGTCACTACTTGACCAGAGTAATGACACCTTCGTAGGAGATTTCAGTGATGATGATGATGATGGTGATGATGATGATAGCGGCAACAAGGGGGTGGCAAACGAGACAAAATCACCAGAGAGAAGACATTTTATCAACCTCAGCACCAACATAAATGGTTTCACCTGCGTGGGCCGTTGGTGTGATAACAATAGCTGTGGCGTGAAGATTAACAGTCTACCAACCATTCCATCTCCACGGTGTTACCGTAATAATAAAAAAAACTGGATTTTTGGAGTCACATGAGTAAACTTTACTGCTGTCGGAGGATGACAGAGCATCTCAGCTTCACCACATTCTTACATCATTGATACCCGTGCCAGCGGTTCTATAAGGAATTACAGAAGGGGGAGGGGGCTGGAAACCGACACAGCTGTAATCATCAAGGCCAAATTACAACTGCCCTTGACTCGCTACAGCCGAAGTTATCATCGCTGTGCTGTGTTCGAAGTCGCATGTATGGGTTGACATTCTGGGAAGGGGAGGTAACGCGTTCGTTCGGACAAAAAAATACCTCACCCACCATTATGACGATGTCACAGACACTGCTGCGGTAGTAGCCTCCCCTTCATTAACGTCAAATTAGAAATTTCGACTAAATTTAAATGTGTATCACGTTAATCTATTCCTGCTATCTTTTGAGCTGTGAATCAACACACAACCACCGACCTGTGCTTGGGGATGTAGGCGAGGGCAACCTATTAGAAGTGGCCGGGGCGGCGGAAGCAGTGGTGGCAGCAGCATTGGTGCCGGGAGATGCCGAGGCGACGGAGGCAGCGGAGAGTTTTTTCTCCCGAGCGCGCTGATTTTGGAACCACACTTGGATCACCCTTACTGACAATCCGAATTCCTCCGCCAAGGCCTCACGAGCCTACATAACAGCATCAAAGATACCAAAAAAAATTAGCAAGTGGGGCATTTCAGTTGTGCTAACAAAGCACGGTTTTGACAAAGAAATTATCCAGCACGTTTGCATGAAATGGCAAAGACGAATGATCCGACTCTAGACAAGGGTGAATATTTTAAGGAGACGCACTCTTTTGGGAGGTCGTGGATTCTCCTCAAACACGCGTTGGAGACGTGCGCGTTGCTCTGCCGAGAGTGTGGTACGACCGCGTTTGCAGGCGACAGCAGCGGCGGAGACCGAGGAGGGTGCAATGGGAGCGACGGCAGCAGTGGAGGCGGCAGAGCCGCGGAGACAGTCGGGTTTACAGACAGGTGCCCCGGTTGTGGGATCGCGGGCGTACTCCACACCCACAACCAGTGGTTCGTGACACACTGAGCAGACGAAGCAGGAGACGTGGTGCACCTCGGCGCCTGTTCGCATGCACAACTCGTGGCTCAGCATCGGCTGTTTGCAGGTTGCGCATTTTGTTGCATAAAGCCTACAAACGCACAGGTACTGGTTGGAATGGAAGGTAGTACACCAAACCCTTCTATTCATCCAGTCATTGCGTTTATTAAAACAATCAAAAAGATTGGAGTTAAACCAGGAAAAAGTGACAGCGCACTGACAGCTTGGCAGTCCATTAGAGACTGGCTAAAAAGGAGGCAGAGACTGCAACAGTTTAATTTCTAAATTTCAACGACTAAGAAAATCACACAGATGAAATAGCACAGATGTCAGTTGAAATAATTCAACTGGTCATCGGTTAGACAAAGAGAAAAATGTAATATTTCGTAGATACATTTTCTATAGCCAATATAACCATAAAGTTAATCCCAAGCGCCAGAATATGGATGTGAAGCCATAGAATGGGACCTACCTATGGTAGTCCTGTCGACAGAGCAGTCGGCCCTCTAGAACGAAGCAGAACTCGCTGAGACTGCAACCACAGACAGCACAGAGGGCGCAACGCGAGTGCCACAAGCGACCGCGCACCTGCACCACATACTTCTCCTCTAGTGGCCGGTGACACTTGATGCAGAGAGGCAGGCTGCCGATCACATCGGTTACACTTCCATCGCCTCTGTCGAAGCCACCTCCGACACCGACACCGCTGCTGCAAGTGGGGATGGCTCCAGTCACTTTGCCTGCAAGTAAAGGCAAAAAGATTGGCATTCAGGTACGACCAAGCTCATGTACGGCCGTTTTTTTGTAGTTTCAAGGGAAGTTGAGGCAGAATGCCATTGTGTAGTAACCGAAAGTAGGTTAGGGCAACAATTCGGTAACGCGATATCCTCCGTAGGATGAAAAAGAATGAGACTGTGAAGCAGGTGTACATTCACCAATCTTATAAGCAAAAGAAGTACTCCATTAAATGGATCGAAAGGTAGGCGAACAGAAGAGCCACATTGTCAAAGGAAAGTCAAGAGCCTAGACTTTAAGTCAGCATGGCATTGAGGCGCTGGGTTATTTACAGCGTAATTTAAATATGAATAAAATCACAGCACCATTACAATATGCCATGTTAGCGCCAAGACGCCCCATAAACGCCCTTTTAGTTTTCCAACACCCGTAAACCAAGACACCATGTCAATTAAAATTGTCACAAAAATGAATAAGAACAAATGCCAATCAAAATTAGGTCACAAGAAGGTTCAGACGCCTGAAAACAACAAGACTAAGAAGTGCCTGAGCAAGACTGAAAGGTGAATTTTCGCCAAGATGCTGTACGATTATTGCAACGGTTTCAAGGGTAATCGACCTGGCAGTACTAGATTGCGTGTCAAGCAACTATTCCAGTGGTACTTTGCTGGACAGAACAAGTTCAAACGAGATCACACACTGCATGAGAAAATTGATGATGTGTAAAATTGCTACGCCACACCCATTACGACCTCGAGAAGAGAAAGCCGCTAAGCAACGGTTGCGACATCAAGCCAATCTGGCCCCAGGTTGATAAACAGCCTATCTCGCGGTTTGAAAAAATTAATCAAGCTAGGCGAAGGAGCCTCAAAGGTAAGCTAATAAAATACTTGACAAATCGTAAAGTGAACAGACGAAGAACATGGCGTTGGAAGCAAAGAAGATCCCAGATTGATGCAAAGCACAGTGGGGAAAGTTGAACGAGAGATAAGGATAAAATACTGACAAGTTAACAGCCGTGACTGGGAGAGAATTACCCCGAAAAGGCAGCTCTCACGTGTACAAAGGTGAAACTAGGTATTTGAATAATATTTCCAAGGACAAAGAATTGTTAAACGGACACAAGGAGGTAAATAACTGGGAGGCCGAGCAATAATTTAACGTCAGTGGCGATACACAATAGGAAAACAATCAAAAGGACAATAAAATACGGGATATTTAGAGCCAAAAGGCGCGGTTGGCAAACAATAGACGCATATTTACTTTAAAGATACCACCGAAAAATTTGCAGCACCGAGTCTATTAAGGGTGTAAGAAACGATCAAGCAAAAGGACTCCCGGAAAGAACATTGAAAGCAACAACAGGAAATGCACTGAAGCACAAAAAGACAACCCGATTGTCTGAAGGAAAAGGAAAAAGTGATGACAGCACTGCACTACTGTTCTCGTGGTTTAAAGGATAATTGAAGCCGTGAAACTGAAGTGAAAGTCGCAAGGTATAAAGAAAGCAAAATTGAAAGGTATTTACTGTCCGCACAATACACGTACAGAGGGCAGAGATTAAAAGACACACTACCTCCAGGAAACTTAACAATCCCAGCCCCAATTTTGGAGGTAGAAAACAGGACAGAGCAATGCTTACCATACAAGAGTGATGAAAACATAAAACCTGAAGTTCGCCTTACTTACGAGTCTGGTAGTAAAATGGAAGGCCAGACATCAGGTTAGCCTCCCGACACTACCTTCAAATTTCCTTATTTACTATGAGGGCTAATCAAAGCAAAATAGGGTTAACAGATTGAAAGTAGACGAATAGACGCCACAATAATTGAGTCAAGAGGCTCAGACGTAGTCGGGAATTCTGGAAAGTCGATTAACTTCAAGGTGGATAATATAGCTAATGAAATAGCCAACGTCGAGGATTACTTCTGATATAAAAACAATTTACAAATCAAATGGTACAGCAACGCTTGAATTTTGAAGCGCATTAATGATGGGTAAAAAGTGTCTGTCAAAACAATGCTTTAAACCGAAAGCAAAAAGTTAGACACTGGCGGATACAGCCACCGTAACAACCGTCAGAAGAGTAGTCACTTTGGCTAGATCTGCAAGACCAATCAAGCAACTCCAACTTTGAAATTGCAGAATTCTTAAGGCCACAACAAGAAAGATGATAGTATTGCTTATAAGACAACGAACCTAAGTAAGCGATGTTTTTGACAGATTTCATCAAGCAATAACTGACAAGTAACAATCTTGCAATCCACTTAACAATCGGGGCACACTCTCAAAGAGAATGGCAAGCGCGTGACCCTAATGCACTAATAATCTGAAAACCACTCCAGAAACACAACAACAAGTCATTCCTGGATGGACACACCCTTATGGGAAAATCATAAATCAGCATCGACTAAAAATATAATCAATGGCAAAAGAATTCCAGAAAAGCAACAACACACAATTGACAGCGGGGGAAGATGGCTCAGTCACAAGAGAGATAAACCGATATTTCCAGGCGAAACTGCAAATTTAATAAATATCGACATAAAAGTAGGGTCCAGCAAACCTTAAAAACATAATATGAGGGGCTTTGTAACACTTAATTTGATACAAAAATGCTGCACGCGTAAATTTGGAAAGATGTAAGTAACAAGTAAAGTCAATAAAAGACGAAGTTACAATACACAAGCTTGAGAACATTTTTCAGCGAGGAACCTACTCTAAGGGATCCTTATTGATTAGACCGATTTTTTCCAAAAAGTACTTAAGGTTAGACAGGTAAAAAGATCAAGAAAAAATTGGTGGCTGATTGCTGGAAATAGGTTTTAATAGCAAAAGCACCGAAGTCAAAAGGAAGGATGAACTCCAAATCAAATTAAATACTTGTTTTGCGCAAACGTTTTCCGAAACTAAGAACTGCGGCTGATAGACACAAAATGAGTGCATATTTTAAATATCAAACAGATAAGAATATTATTCTGCAACCAAAACGGTATTTTCTACTAAAAGGAAAAAAGCACTTTTGGACGCCTACCGTAACTAATAAGAGAGCATTGGTGGAGCCTACTGATGTTTATCCTGTCTGATATCTGAACCGTAGCAAGGAACAAAAACAATGAATTATCCAAAAAGAGCATGACAATAAAGGATTTAATACATAAGCTAACCTAAAGGTACTCGCGAGAAAGAACCAAGCACACTTGACATCCGACAACTGGCCAATGCCCGATGCGACCTTTAGAATCACATGATTGTCCATTAAAACTGATATAATTACACAAACGATTACTTAAATGCAAAACAGGAAAACGCATTAAACATGACTTAAAACGAAAGCACCTAATTATTTCAAAAGGCTAAAAAACTTTTTAGAACAGTATCAATACTTACCAATTGCCTACAGCGAAATAAATTTTCAACGATCGTTAGGCCCTTTGCATGCAGATTATCAAGAAGTACGTTCAAATTTGTGCTAAACAGTAAAAAGAATCTTTTTTGACTTGATTTTTACAAATTGCACTGGCATTCAACGTAATGGTCTTTGGGCCGTGCTAGGTGTATCGTCCCAAGACTTAACTGAAGACAAAAAAAGGCATGATACTTAGTAAGAATGTATATTCAGCATACAAAAGGCATTTGAGGTATTGGCATGACCAAAAGGCCAGCTTTCCTGTCGTAGTAAAATAGGAAAGTCAAAAGTCGCTCTTCTCCGAACCCCCCAGCTAAGTAGCCATAGTGTAGTGTAATACGATAGTGGTTTATCCCTCGGTTCTGGTGAGGGGCCACTTTTGGACTTTGAATTAG